ATATACGATAGATAATCGATCATTTGATTTTTTAATATGGTCACATGAAAGAGAAATCCGGCGCTGAATTTCTTTCCAAAGTTTTATTCGTTAAGTAAATCCCATAAGTGAAATTGATTTTCTTTGTAGAAAGCGAATCCACACTTTAATCCGATGGATACGCGACAATTTGTTAAAGAACATTCAGAATTATTTGTTAGCGGTGAGACAGCGTGCGTTTATATTTAATTTCCATTTCATAGACAAAGGAAAACTGCAATTCGTTATTTATGGATACACTGCGTGGAAGATAAATAAATTTAGATTAACATTATATAATACATTAAATAATATAATTTATTAAATTTCGCTCATTCTTTCGTTACTGCATCCCACGCCAACTCTAGGAATTTCTCTTTGGATATTCCATTTAACTTTGCCATTCCATATACTGATCTAACAGCATCAGAAACAAATGTTTGAATTTCATTATTCAGGGCTTCTTTTTGCACCGATGATGATAACGGCGATGTTGTTGAGATCGTTAACCTTTCAGTCTCCTTTTCTGGGGTCTCTTGGTGCTGTATTCTATCAATCTGTGCAGGTTCGTCATTTGGCGGTGGAAATGATGTCAATAGAGCGGTTTCTATAGTATTGCCGTTTTGATTCTCTTCCCTATCGTTTTCTGTCTTGTCGAATCGTACTTTACTATTATTTGTTACTGTTTCTAATCCGTTATCATTAAATGCTGAATTTTCGATACCAACATTCGAGATTTTCCCTGACGCGTGAATACACTCATCCAGTAGTGATTTAGTCAAAGTTTTGGAGGAGGAAATTGTTTTGAAGGTGCTATGTCTATTACCCAAAGGTTGCCCATATTGATCCCAATAAGACTCCCCATTGTCATCATCACCTGATGAACGATTATTTTGCACACTGCTTTCTGATGAAGCTGCAACGTCTTTATCATCAGAGGCGGGATACTATTATTAGACATAAAAAAACACGTGTCAATAATGAAATGTGAGTTATGGCAAATATATTTATTGAAAGGAGGGTATTAATTGACCTGATCCCAATAATCGGCGTCCGACTCATCTTCTTCAGCAATATCAGAAGGGATGATTGTTTTAAGCTTTGATATATAATGTTTATGAATGTTTATATTTCAAATTATAATCGACAAGAAATATAAATAAAAGTTCACATTTACCTTGTTAAACTTTTGATCTGTAAGATCTATTACCAATTCCCATCCATCACTTAGATACTCCTCCCAATTTAACACTTCCTTCGTATTATAATACTTCCAACTCTTGAATTCAAGTTTCTCCGACTCTTTAGTCTGTTCTTGTTCTAGTTCTTGTTGTTCTTCGTATTTAATGTCTTTCTGCCAAAACTTTTGCTTTTCTTCTTCCCACAATAATACTACAACAAACCTTTGAGTACCCTTTCTTCCAAATTCCAACATTGCATGCAACGTCTCCTTATCCCACCTTTTATAATATATTGGTGCGTCTTGCAACACGCTAGTTGAAGAGTGCGGATTCCATTCGCGTTGCAAAAAGCTAGAAGAAGCGTCAAACTGCCACTGGAAATATGATTCTAAATCTTGTTGCTGTGCAAGAAAATGAACGCGTTGAACTAATGGAAACGCGGATAGTAAGAGAAGAGACGGATAATCACGTGCATAACGTGCAAGTAGAGCAGCGTGTGCTGTTTTACGAATTTCGAATTCGTTGGAATATGGAGTAGAGTTCATGTTTAATTAAACTCGAAATGAATGTCGCTACTATTTACTGAATTAAAAATATTGGCTAGACAAACAAATAGATAATCAGTAAATGAAAATCCAAATATAACATTTCATTATTTCATTGAAGAATATTAAAAATAAGAAATGCCAAGTACACCACCTGGACCTCGTTCCTCACGGAGCACCTCTCAACAACCAGACCCATTGGGTACTCCCTTATATCTTCATAGACCAGACGCGTATGTCACGCCAGGAAACTATACTACGCCACCACCTACCTTAAAATTATTTCCAACCCACTTAAAGAACAATAGTAGTACACATGCCTCTTCAACTAGTACCTCCGTACGACAGTTAGTTTTTAGTTCTCCTTTCTTTAGTAGCAGAGACAGCGTGGGAAGTAGTGCATTCAGTAATTATAGCACTGAAACGAAAACAGAGGATCGAATGCGTTACTGGAGAAACGCCGCGCTTCAATACCACATGTATGAGACTGCTGCTTTTTGGGGGAATAAATTGGCGAGCATAACTGGTATATCTCGCTTTTCTATTAATTGAGAATTCACGACTGCTAGTTATTGATATTTTATCGCGTGTAAAATACTAATTCATTCTATTCCAGGCAATCCTGATGATGTGTATTGGTTGGCACAAATATATTTCATGATGGGTCAATATGCCCGGGCGCATAGTTTATTATGGAATTTGCTTGAGACAAGTACTGCTTGTAGAATATTAGCGGCAGAGTGCAGTGTGAGTACAAAAAAATCGAGTTGATATTGAAAGCTCGTAGTGGCACGTCTCATTTTTTTACTTAATACTTTTATAACTAATTTTATACTTTTACGCTATAGATTAAACTGGAAAAATATCAAGAAGTATTTGATATTTTATACGAAGAAAACCCGCCAGGTTTCTTTTGTTATTATTATTGAAGCGTTTTAATGATATTTTGGATTATATTATATTATGTTATTCGAGCTGAATTTTATATGTTTCAAATTTTTCTTTAGAAATCACTGAAAAAGCTAATGATCATCTAGATGGATCAATAAAAGTTAGTAATATCAAAATATTATAATATCGCAAAGAAACCATCAACACATAATATTCATTTTTTTAATTGAAAAAAGTTGGAAGCATATATGTGTTACCTCCGCGGATATGCTTATGCGCAACAAGCAAATTTGGATCAAGCAAAGAAAAATTATAAATTAGCAGTGGTTTTGGATGTTAGATGCTTTGAGGTATTTTTTAAATGGTTATTTTTTTTGGTAATATGATTTTGTTATTTTTTAATTGGATTTACTTTGTTTCAAAGGCTTTCAATGCTTTAATTTCTAATCATATGATGACGAGTAAAGAAGGTGGGAGATTTGGTCATATTTATTTGTATTACATGATTTTCTGTGATGTGAGTAGATTTAAACTATTTACTTTTTAGAATGGGAATTTTTAAATTCACTCGAATTTGAAGAACAATGTGGAAAGGAAGATGGCAGATTCATAAAAATGAATTATATGTCTATGTTGAAGAAGGTAATTATTTACTATTCTTTTAATATAATAACTTCTTAAATTGACTATGCCAATGTAATAAAAATTATTTCTATTTACAAATAAAGTATGATCATGTTAAAGAGATTGAGGAGGCAAGAGAAGAACTCGAAAAAACATATTTATTGGTCGATAACGCTGATGTGATGCTGAGTCGAGCCGAGCAATTATATGCTCAATGCCAGTTTAAAGATTGTCTAGACGTCACTACAAAGTATGTACAAAAAAACCAATAGAAATTTAGGTAATCTTTGATTTATTCACTAATCGTTTTATTCAGATGAATAATGCGTGTGAAATTTTCTATGTGTCTAAGAATTCTTGATGTCGATACACACAACCAAGCATGCCTCCCGATACACATAGCATGTCTACATGAGTTACGTGAGAAAAACAGATTGTTTTTATTATCGCATGAGCTTGTGGAACATTATCCGGATGCGGCAGTCACTTGGTTTAGCGTGGGCTGTTATTATTACTTAATTGGACAGAACGACGAAGCTCGGAAGTATTTTAGGTATTTGTTGTGTTAATAAATAAGGTCTTTCTGTAAGAAATTATAAATAACTTATTTTCATATGAATTCTTGTTAAATGTCTTTGGTTGATTCATGTTGTACGATGATGATATGCAGCAAGGCTTCAACAATGGATTCACGGTGTGGTGCTGCATGGGTGGGATTTGGACATTCTTTCGCAGTGGAATCGGAGCATGATCAAGCTATTACCGCTTATTCAACTGCATCAAGATTGTTTCAAGGGTAATAGTAATAATAATGATAAAAATAAAAATACTTACTTTATTGTTTTTTAGAGAATAATTCATTATGACTTATATATTTTTAATAATAGTTCCCACTTGCCGACATTATTCATAGGAATGCAACATTTACAAGCCAACAACTTCATTTCTGCAGAAGAATATCTGTTCACTTCGTATCAGATATGCACAGGTGATCCACTCGCACTTAATGAATTGGGCGCATTATATTATCATAAAAATCAGTAAGTGATAATTACCGTAACACTAAAAAACAATGGTTATTGTCATTCCAATCGAAGAATTTCCTTTATAATTTGTCACTCTGTATTATTATATAGGTATAAGGAGGCAATTGAATACTTTGAGCGTGCACTTAGTCTAGTTGTAGCCACTAAATCACGTACACAAGTAAAGGAGACGACGTGGATGAATCTTGGTCACGCTTATCGAAAAACGGGGTAAATATGATTGAACTTTTTTCTTGGAAAATTTCGCTGACTGTTTTATATTGGTTTCTCTAGTAAACTTGATATAGCAGAATCATATTTCCAAAAAGTTGCAGCGATTTCACCGCCAAATGCAAATGCACTATCCGCTATCGGTTACATTTATCACATCAAAGAGAATTACTCGCAAGCTGCCATGTATTATCACGAGGTAACTGACTACCATCTAATCGATCTAACTTGTACAAATGTAATTAATATATTGATTATCACTCTTCGTCTAAAGGCTCTTGGAATCAAGCCTTCTGATCTAATAACACAGGATTTACTCGGTAAATGCCTAGAAAGTATGGTAAAAAGCAATCAGTCCTTAATTGATTAGGTTTATTATCATAATCAAAAATACAGACCTCATTAAATTACACGTTATCTAGAGTTTTTGTTATTTGTTTAATAGACTTGATAATTAGAATAAAAACATTCATTACGCGTTGTTTGAAAATTTTTGACTAAAGCATTAATAATATCAGTTTACATAACGATAACAAAATTTTCTTGACACATGAAATCAATTATTTTTTAGTCCGGTCAGGACGCGATATCTCGCGATCCAACCATCACGTATTCAATTCGTCTACCTGACATTTCATATTCGTTATCTATTTCATTTGTTGACTATTTTATTGTGTTAATTAATCTATTCCCGACTACAATTATTTATATGGCTCTAATGTCTATTATAATATAAAATTAGTGCGAATACTAACAAATCGAAATATCATCCATGATACCATTTAAAAATAAATTAATCATTTGCCCTTTTTATATAAATATATAATGTTTGTCTAATGAATCTGATTGCTCGTAAACAAAGATGTTTAAAACTCATCCATCATAAAAGTTTGCATTATAATTATTTATGTGTACGTGATTCACCTTTAAGCTATCTGTGCCTTTTTTTCACCATTATTAACTGGTAAACCATCAAGTTTAAGATCGATACTTTCATTAGAATTCAAAGATTCTAGATCTTGTGATTCTCGAGTGTCCCCATTCACAATTTTGATTTTTGAAAGATTTTCGTCATTTAAGTTCTTTGAAGATACTTCATTACTTATATTGGACGAAATCTGTCCATCACAATGCTCAAGTTCTTGATTGTTGTCATGCTCATAATCATCATCTTTTTCCAATATTTCTGAATCTAAAATGTCGGATTCAAGAAAATTTTCTTCCGAACTAGGCACTTGTTGATCCAATTTTCCATTGTGATCATTAATAATCGGGTCTTTTGAAGATTCAATCACACTTATATTCCATTCATCGCCTAAATTTTGATCTTGATCTTCTATCAAAAAAGACACATCACCATCCGATGGAACATTATTAAGTGACAACGAGCTTTCCGTCTGCGAAGATAAAATCTCATGTGATAGTGAGCTTTCTGTCTCCGAATTATCGCTACTATAATCGCTTGAATTTCCATTAAGATAACCATGCTGGAAGTCAGTTTCATCCTGTTGATGCTCATAGGAATCTTTACTTGACGAGAAAAGAGATTGACCATTAGAGGATTTATCTGAAAATAACGGTAAAGTGTCCTTTACATTTTGCTTTCCTTTGTGTATATGTCTTAAAGGATATTTATCGTTATCAATGTTCGATTCGTTCCGGGGATAATGTGAAGGTCCACCGTTAGTCTCATTTTCTGGCGTTGGCGGCGATACAGAGATTTCCAAAGTATCCGGTAAAATAGAAACCCCGTAATAAGAAATCTGATCTAACTCTGAAATTTCGTCGTTGTCTATTGATGTGTCCCAAATTTGGCTCTTTTCCGCAACTTCTGCAAAATAGGAAGTGAATGATTCAGATAACTCATCGGCTCCTTCATAGTCAAAGTCAGGATTAAGTCTAGCAATAATTTACGATCAATCAATAAGTTTCTGAAAATAAAAATAAATGCAGAGAAAAATTATAATATGCAACTAACTGTCCATATCCAGGGTGACTAATTTTATCGTCTAAAATAAGAAATCGTAATTTTCTTTTCCGATTCTTCTTTGAATTCTTTAGGTTATCATGCATCCTTTGATCCCATTTTTCATATAGGTCAGCGTATATGAATCCTTCGATATATCGATGTTTATGATGTCTCGCGTGTATATCCTTATCATGAAATTTAGATATAATAATACATCTTAATAAAAAGTCGAATGTGGACATTAAATTTGAATCGTTTTTTTTTACCTTGAATAAATGAACCATTATGCCAAATAGATCACGCTGTAAACTCAAAAAGGATTTTCCATCTTTGTCCTTTGTATACACGTAATCTTTAGGATTAATATCACCCCGGATTTCTCTCAAACATTGAATAAATTCTTCGTGTGACATTTCTACGACATTGTAAGGAACTTTATCTGGTTCATCCTAAGACAGTGGAACGTTAAAATTTATAATATAGGTATAAGCTTTGACAGATAAATAACTTGGAGAAACATATTGACAAACAGCCTTCAACCTTTCCGTAGTGTCTTAATAATGTATGCCAGAATTTACGATGCGTTTCACTTGGGGCCCAAAATCTTTGGTGAGCTATATCCATTATTTGACCTAAAATTTTGGCATTTAATTTCTCAAGTTTGGTGACACAATAATAATGTCTTTGTATCAGTAGTATTATAAGGAAATTCTCTATGTCCATCAAGGTAGGTGTTCTTTCGTCAAAAAATCGTTCCCTTGAATCAGAGTCTCTTTTATTTAACGGCGATAAAGCTTGATCTTGAACAAAGTCTTTTTGTACCTACAGAATGGATGAACAAAGAATTTTTTATGAATAATTACGGAATTTAATTTATTGTTTCAATATATATTACCTTTGAATATTCTTGAAGTCTAGAAAATAGAGAACGAAGCCAATCCCGTAATTGACCATTTTCTACATACCAAGCAGCTACCATCAGAAAACTGTATTAAGCGAGGTTAAATTAATACATAAGAATTATGTTTCAATTCAGCATACTATTGAATAAATTTACCTGTCCAAATTATACGGTGAGTGGTGTGCAACCTTGTCAATTTGAAAAGAATTTTTCACAACCCATCTCAATTCTTCGTATTCCAAAATCGAGTTTTTATCATACTCTTTACATAACACTTTTAGCAAATGACTATGCCTCGGCAATACAAATCTTTGCGTCACGTCATCTTCATACTCGCTTTGCGGTCTCAACATGGATTGCGCATCACTTTTCATATTAAGCCATCGATAATCAAAACAATACAATAAGGAAAACAAACGTTCCGAGACCTCGCTGAGGCGTTGACACATCAAGTAAGTGAAGTGATTAAATTTCTCTGGTGAATCATTGAATGAATTTCTTCGATATCTTAGCGCGTCTTTCAATTTAGTATATGCGGCGTGGAGAGAATCTTGCACTTTTGGAAAGGCATTCATTTTTTCAGATTGAAGTAATCCAAGATTTGCGAGAATTAGTTGAAAAAATGCGTCATGTCGATGAATTTTTGATTGATATTCCTGTATTACATGTGTAGATGCGTTGTGTAAATGTATTATTTCTATAAAAAGAACAGAAAAATATAAAAACTAACTTGATGAACCAGATTCCATTTTTCCTTTATTTTCTCATAATACAAATATTCTTGAGGCGTTTCGCAATGAGAAGGAGAGATAAATCCCCAAGACTTTACCTTCGAATAAAAATTTTTTAATAGCAGCCCGGAATCCTTATAATTCCTTTATTATAAATAACACATTTTGATTTAATATTTCAATAACCATCAACAGTAAATAGAGACATAACCAACATGCCTTGATTCCAATGCGATTCGCACCAAATTATCATAAGAAGAATAAAATAATTCTTGCGTACGTAATATTTCTTTATATTTGTCAGACCAGTTTGTTACATAAATCTCCCAGAAGGTGTTTTTGATATAAGTATTCCATTCCCAACTTTCGGAAAAATGATAACGGTTCTTTAATATATGTTTTCGGACACTTTATATCAAGAAAAAGTATGTTATCAAAAAGTGCAATAATATAAAATCAATCTGAGATAATTTAAATGGATTATACGTGTTGAACTCGCGTTTCTTTAGCAAAGCCCTCATAAGAATGATGTCCAATTCTGGATTCTTGTATTTCTCCTGAATAACTATCAAATCGTTTTTTGAATCTTCGATCCATTCAATGTTCGGAGCTAAGAAGAAATCATCATGACAAATGTCAGAACTCTTGTGTAACTAGCGTGTCAGTATCTATGCAAAACAAAAGTCTATTTACCAATTGGTTTACCAACACGGTATTTCAAGCAACCACGTGTCTCTAATTGTTTTTCTGCATGGTTAACGAGAATCGTGTATGCCTCAGTATATAATTGTATAATTCGTTGATCGACTTTTTTCAGTGTCTTTTCATTGCTATAATCGGTAGCATTTCATGATTAAGGGAGAATCAAAACTAACAAATCAAAAATCTATATCGTTTCATACCGTTTTAAGAAGTGTAAGGCTTTCCTCACATATTTCTTGATCTGCTTATCTTGTTTAGTCTTCTTTGCGAGTATTAAACAGATTTCGGCAGCTTCAAATTATTAAAGAATCGAAGATTGTTAGTTAATACATCAAGCTCGAGTGTAACAGTATAAATTTTACCATCATATCCACAACTCTGTATACCAAAAGAATAATAAATCCTAAATTTTGAAAACTTTATTAATCCAATCAAATTTTTTACAATTAAAATAATAATATCCTTATTCGAAGAAGTGATTATACTTTTCATAATACTCTAAAGCTTTTTCATATTTCCCTTCAAGTCGATATATTGTAGCAATTGCCTTGTTAGCCTAAAAGTAATATTCAAGCTGTCAAGTTAATGCTTGTGACTACACTCAATCTTCAAAAACCATCAAATAAACTACCTCACTATCATACGGCTTAAGTGTCAACAGTTCAACTAAATAAGTTTTAGCCTGGGCTGTATCTCCCACTTTAAAATATAAATTCGCAATCGCCAACCAATTCTCTTTTATTATTTGATCTGTCACACCTTTTCTTAAAAGATTTGAAGTAAAGTCTGTGACTTCTTGTCGGCTTTTAAATACAGGCTTAAAAGGAAGAACAGCACTCATTTTTAGACTGTAATTCTTTCGCCGCGCAACAAAAAAATTTATTCAAGAAAAAACATGGTACGTATCTAATTAACATAATATTTTTATTTGTTGATACACAACACTGTATATGTAATACAAATAACATAACAATAGTCTAATTACGAAGTGGAGTAATGTCCGCTTTCAGCTTTAACTCTATATAATATATACGCGCGTTACTGGGATGACCACAGCTTCATAGAAATGCCACTACAATGTCTTAGGTTACCCACCTTCCAAGAGCTCCCCGTGGGTAACCAGTATAACTGGTTTTAAAAATTTAATTTCTTTGAAAAATCTCCCCATTCGAGATGATGAAAAGCGACCACCACTAAAGGCGAATGATATTTGGATTATACCAATCCTGATTTGAATTCATAATCAGCAGCGAAGTTTCGATAATGCCTACTCAATTTTATAAAAGGTCCAAAACGAACATTGTAATATACATAAAAAATAAAAATAATATTACTTTTTGTTTTCCAGTATATCAATTTGGCTTTACAAAACCGTTTTGCGCCATAGAATTCATGGTGAGTATTAAGATTTTGATTCGATAGTCTTGGAATGATATAATATTTAACAAAGGGCCAGCCCGAAAAATCACATGACAGATATATAATCACATGATATATATATTATGTGAGCAATTGAAGTACGCACGGTATTTTTAACTTAACATTAAGCAATATAAATATTCACAATAGAGAATGGTTAGTGTCGTCCATCACGTGATAAATCTTAAAAATATTAAAAGGTAATTTCAACGTTAGGGGTGGGAAGGAGATCAAGGTTATATTTAAAATTGTCTGTTTTCAGTATTTTTCATTTTTTGTCTTTGCTTCAAATTTGTTTTGCCGGGTTGATTAAAAATTTACGCATCCTCATTGGTTTGTTTTCGGACAGATTATCGGATGGACTACGCTTTAACCGATCCCCTATAATAGTATAATGTTGGATGAATATAACTTCAATAAGAAAACAAAAATACAAGTGCTAATTATCTTAATTCTTTACATGTCATGCACTATATATGTCAACACCCTTATAAGAATATAAGAAGGCTGTCTTTTAGACAAGATTGTGAGTTTTAGACAAGAAAGTAATACAAAATCTAAAGCATTCAAAACCTTTAGCTAATTGATATAAGGATCCACGATATTTTTAGACAAATTGTTATAAACTAAGATTTTGCATATTCTTACCTCAAATATTTTTTCTCACGCTATCTATCTGTCTAAAGACAGCCTTGATTATAAGAAATGTAATACACATGACCAATAACACTGATTGTCAGCATCAAAAATCTAAAATTAGAGTTTCAAAAGTTAGGGTTTAAAAAATGCCTTCAACACAACTTTTCACGATAAATGAACTCGGCTGTTCCATTCCAGCAAACACGCCACATGCTGTATCAGTGACACTGCCAACCTGGCAGGATAATGTAGATTATGAGGAAGGTAGAGAACGTGTGTTGAGTAAAATGGTGAATGGATATCCAAGGTTTTTTATACATAACCTTATTAAGAAGGTAAAGATATTTTTCAGCATTCTTGTGCGAATTTTATACGACACGCGTATTTACATTGCAGCCGTTAATTCATTTTAGCTCATGTCTCATTGCGAACAAAAATTTGCGAAATCCATGGAATCATGTTTATTGTTTCCTTCACGGAAAGCCGCGCAAAGATGTCGTGATTTTCTGAGAAAATATTACACACCACTAGATGCTTTGTCATTATCCGCATCTACATCTATTTCGAAAGCTTCTTCGACTATAGCACGTCTTGCAGAGATTACAGTTCTTGCACCTACAGCTGAACATGTTGAATCATCATTACCTAATGCGGTCACTCTTTATGTGGTAATATTTCCGAAAGATGCTTTTCCAGTCGCCAAATTGTATTGGCAACATACCGGGGATGGAATTTCTTCGCGTCAAGCAGAATATGTTCTTCGTCTATTGCAGGCTAAACAGGCAGAAGAACAAACCCAAGAAAAATTAATGAATCGAAAAATATCGCCCAGGAAACGATATTCTAATTCGCGTTCTCCTGTAACCATGGCTAGCTTAACTAATACCAATAATGACATTAATAATATCAATAATAATATTACAAATAATATTGACAATAGTATTACAGACAATAATAACAATATTAATAGCAGTAATATTGATATTAATTATAATAAAAAGGAATTGACAGAATTATTATTTGAAGTGGATTCATATGTAGAAGAAAGATATGGTCGCAACCTTTCAGTCGAATTTGCCGAAAAGGCAAAGATTATTCTAAAACGTCGAATTGCAGGGGTTTTGGGGGTAGAGAGTAATGAAGAGGATTTACAAAGTGTAGCTTCAAAGTCAATTGAAGGCATTTCAGAACGCGAGGTTACAGAACTAACGGAGGATGATGTGTATCTTTTTCCTAGCGGAATGAGTTCTATATTCATTGCTCATCAAATTATACTCGCTGCATTTCCACCCAAGAAAAGTGTGTGTTTTGGGTAATTATAATTATCGAGATTTATGTAACTCTGATTTTATTAGTTTGCTGTTTATGAAGAAAGTAAGCTTGATATTACTATCTTCTTCCATACATAATAATAATAATTATAGTTTTGTGTATGCTGATACTTTGAAAGTTTTGGAAAAGTTTGGACCTGGATGCCATTTCTTTGGTCATGGTTCCTCGACAGATATTGATGCATTAGAGAATTTGCTCGCCTCAGGCGAAAGAATCCTCTGCCTATTATGCGAATTTCCTTCAAATCCATTATTGAAATCACCGGATCTAAAACGTCTAAGAGCATTAGCGGACAAATATGATTTTTTGATAATTGTGGATGAGACTATCGGGAATTTTGTGAATGTTAGTGTTTTAGCATGGGCGGATTTAATTGTGTCTAGTCTCACGAAGATTTTTAGTGGCGATAGTAATGTTATGGGCGGAGGGTGCGTATCGTACCAATGAGTTTATACGTGATTTTTTGTCTATATCAACTATTCCTATTGGTTTCTTTTAGATTGATGTTGAACCCGCAACGCCGACATTATCTGAAACTGAAAGAAACCTTAAAAGTGGAGTATGAGGATCTCTTTTGGGCTGAGGATGCGATCTTTCTTGAAAGAAATTCTAGAACTTTTAGAGAACGAATACTAAAGATAAATGAAAATGCCGAAATTCTCTGTGATCTTCTTAATAACAACTCGAAAGGTTTGTTTAATGATTATATTTTTGAATAGATGACTTATAGATTCAAAAAGATTAAACATTAATTATATAGTTAAGAAAGTCTACTATCCAAAATTCGTGTCATCCGAGATTTATGTTCAATACATGCGAAGAAACGGAGGCTATGGTGGCCTATTCTCGATCACTTTTCATTCTGAACTCGCGTCTGCGCAATTCTTTGATGCGCTCCCAATCGCCAAAGGCCCATCTTTAGGCACAAATTTTACACTCGCATGTCCTTACACGATTTTGGCGCATTATACAGAATTGGATTGGGCTGCTGGATTTGGCGTTGAGAAAGGTTTGGTTAGAGTGAGCGTGGGTTTGGAAGATAAAGAGATATTGCTTGCGGCTTTTCAGACTAGCTTGGATGCTATCACTGATAATTGAACTTCTTATAATATATCTTATCTACATATCTATTTACTTACCTACCATCTATTTACTTACCTACCATCTATTTACTTATCTACCATCTATTTACTTACCTACCATCTATTTACTTATCTACCATCTATTTAGAATTTACTTTTAATTATGACAGAAAATCATCATTTCTGGGCTGGTTCGTTTAAACTTATAGTTTTTTTATATTTAAATTTTTTATTATCTGGTATAATAAACATGAATAATATAAAAAGATTTATTTATTACATTTCATACTGGTTCATTTGGATAGGGAGTATTATTATATTTATAAAAACAATATAAAAGCAAATTTGAAAAATATGAAATTCTTATAATTCAAAGCAAATTATATTCATTTCATTGTACATATAGTAAAAGTTCAAAAGTTTAACTTGGCATTGATTTTAGTGAACCAGTTATTTTCAACAAAAGAATAGTATAATGTTTCAATTATTATAGTATTATGATCCAGAATTATTCCTAATTCCTTAATTTCTTAATTCTGATCATGTGACTAAATATAGATTGTAAAAATAGCAAAGATTGCAGAGATAGCAGAGTTTTCAGACATATCAACATTATCTGCTATATCATATTTATTTAACATATATAATATATCCTATATTGTAATAATTTGGTTATAAATTATTTTATATAAATAAAGAATCTTTTGAATAAATCAAAAAATATCAAATAATCAATACAAAATCTAGCTAGTCAATAAAATGCTTCTTGTTTATTATTTAATAAAATTGTACATTAATTGATTTTATAATTATTAATCTTGTTATAATACTTATCTTATATATTACTGAACACTCAACCAGGTTGCTATAGAATATCAGTATTATATTGCTATAGAACCATCATCACACTAAGTAAATATAAAGAAGATATTTATTAGTAGTAGTGTTATCTATTCTAAATTAATAGAATAAAAGAAGCCACATAATGTCACAATTCTAAAGCAATTGGATTAAATTATTAACTTACTGAAATAAGATATTGATTGAATACCTATGTCATGAGATTACCTATCTGAGTCCAGGACTCATGACACTGTCAAGAAAATGGATCTTTCAATTATTACTGTTATTATTATTTTGTTGTTTGCAGTTTTCAGCATTTCTTTTATAATAACAGTTCTTTTCTTCATGATCAGATTTTTTACAATAGTTACAAGTTAAAGTATTTTTTCTTTAATAATTATTATTGTTATTATTTGAGTGATTATTCCAGTTAAATGATTTTTGATTATTAGATAATTGTTTAACTTGAGTTGCTAAGTCAGTAATCATTTTAGTAATATCATTTGTTGCTGGAACTGTTGATGTAATTGGTAGTGAAAAATCAAAATTTTGTGATGTTGGTGTTGGAACTGTTGCATATACTTGCTGCAATAAATTATTATATGTTCAGTTATATTCAACTTTTATTTGTAGAGCTAAATTGATAGCTGTATTTAAAGTATCTGAATTTTCTCAATTAACAAAGAATGCTACTAATAAATTAAGATTTTTTGTAAATTATCTTACTCTATATTCTTCTGGATATGTATTTTTTGGATCAATTTTCTTAATAATATCTTAACATTATTTGAATATTGAGTGACATTTTTTGTTGAATCTTGAATTCTTATTGCTAATTATTATCTTTATGCCATTACTTGAGTATGTGTGTAAAATTGATTCATAAATTATCGCTTGAAAGAATCATTATTATTTTCATTTTAATTTCAATCATTATGAGCAGCTTTATATTATTCATATTAATATCCAGCTATGTCTTTTAGATAGGCAGGTATAGCTTGTATTTTTCTTACTGGTTGAATATTATTAACATTGGTACTTCTATCAAATTCCTCAAACCAGGTAACTGAATTATCAGTTCCATTATCATGAAATGTTGAAAGTGGAATATTCTTTCTTTCTGGTGATATTGCTTGATCAACAGTCATAGCTGCTGCTACGGTTACTTTAAATGAAGAGTTTCTTCACTATTAGTAAAAGAATCATATGAATTAGGAGAGAGGAATAGACTAATAAAATTGGTCAGTGCAAAAATAAGTATCTAAGCCTGTGTCAATTTCGACAGAAATTGTTAAACAATTCTATCAAAGGTGAAAAGAGGGGTTGGGAGAGTGTGTTCAAAGGGGTAAT